GTGTGTTCTAGCATGTCTGTGGGCGTGTTTGTTCTAGCATGTCTGTGTGTGTGTGTTTGTTCCAGCATGTCTGTCGGTGTGTGGGTGTCCTAGCATGTCTGTGGGTGTGTGTTTGTTCTAGCATTTTTGTGTGTGTGTGTGTGTTTGTTCTAGCATGTCTGTGGGTGTGTTTGTTCTAGCATGTGTATGGGTGTTTGTGTTCTAGCATGTCTGTGTGTGTGTTTGTTCTACCATGTCTGTGTGTGTTTGTTCTAGCATGTCGGTGTGTGTGTGTTTGTTCTAGCGTGTTTGTGGGTGTGTGTGTGTGTGTTCTAGCATGCCTGTGTGGGTGTGTGTTCTAGCATGTCTGTGTTTGTGTGTTCTATCCTATCATGTCTGTGGGTGTGTGTTCGTTCTAGCATGTATGTGTGTGTTCTAGCATGTCTGTGTGGGTGTGTATGTGTTCTAGCATGTCTCTGTGTGTGTTCCATCATGTCTGTGTGTGTGTGTGTGTTCTAGCATGTCTGTGTGTGTGTGTGTGTGTTTGTTCAAGCATTTCTGTGGGTGTGTGTTTGTTCTAGCATGTCTGTGTATGTGTTTTTTCAAGCATGTCTGTGTGCGTGTGTGTTCTATCATGTCTGTGGGTGTGTGTTTGTTCTAGCAGTCTTTCGGTGTGTTGGTGTCCTAGCATTTCTGTGGGTGTGTGTTTGTTCTAGCATTTCTGTGTGTGTGTGTGTTTGTTCTAGCATGTCTGTGGGTGTGTGTTTGTTCTAGCATGTCTGTGTGGGTGTGTGTTTGTTCTAGCATTTCTGTGTGTGTGTGTTTGTTCTAGCATGTCTGTGGGTGTGTGTTTGTTCTAGCATGTCTGTGTGGGTGTGTGTGTTCTAGCATGTCTGTGTGTTCTTGCATGTCTCTGTGTGTGTTTGTTCTTGCATGTCTGTGTGTGTGTTTGTTCTAGTATGTCTGTGTGTGTGTTTGTTCTAGCATGGCGTGGGTCTGTGTTTGTTCTAGCAAGTCTGTGTGCGTGTTTGTTCTAGCATGTCTGTGTGTGCGTTTTTGTTCTAGCGTGTATGTGCGTGTATGTGCGGTTGGTTGTGTGAGCGCATGGAAGGTGCCATGTGAAATTTATTGAAGACGCACGGCAACAGCTTTACGTCTCTATTTATTTTAGTGAGAACGGCGCACAATTTACGACTCCTTAAAATTGAAACGATTCAACACGTCACGTGCTGAAAATAAAGCATCACCAGGTCAGTGGCAGATAGTGACGAAGTTATGTCCCCTTCATTATGAACCCAGAAACATGCCACAGTCAAAACTCCTTTCGTCCTAGCTCCTGCAGAGCTGATGTGTTGTAGAAATCAAATGACACAAAACAGAGAAACAGTTCTCCTGGCCCCTACAGAGCTGATGTATTATAAGAATCAAATGACACAAAGCAGAGAAACAGTTCTCCTAGCCCCTAAAGAACTGGTGTGTTGTAAGAAACTAATGACACAAAACAGAGAAACAGTTCTCTTAGCCCCTGCAGAGCTGATGTGTTGTAAGAATCAAATGACACAAAGCAAAGAAACGGTTCTCCTTGACAAATGATCACTGTCACTCCTACATCCACAGCAAAGGTCACTGTCAGTCACTCCTTTTTCAACAGCAGTGGTCACTGTCACTCCTACATCCACAGCAGTGGTCACTGTCATTCCTACATCCACAGCACTGGTCACTGTCATTCCTACATCCACAGCAATGGTCACTGTCACTCCTACATCCACAGCAGTGGTGACTGTCACTCCTACATCCATAGCAGTGTTCACTGTCACTCCTACATCCACATCAGTTGTCACTGTCACTCCTACATCCACATCAGTTGTCACTGTCATTCATACATCCACAGCAGTGGTCACTGCCATTCCTACATCCACAGCAATGTTCACTGTCACTCCTACATCTACAACAGTGGTCACTGTCATTCCTACATCCACAGCAGTGGTCACTGTCACTCCTACATCCACAGCAGGCACTGTCACACAAAGTAAATAATTTCACACACCTTTCCCCTCCTGTGGTATGTGTTCCACACACTGCCACACAGTCAAGCGTGGGGGAATAAAATTCGTGGAATTTTAAGGGGGGAAAAAAATCACACATTACAACCAGATATATTATGAGCATCACGTGATCTGACCGTGACAATGTCAAGTTGTGAAACAAGAATCGCGAACTTCATGTCTCAAATGTTCTACGTCCAAATTTTCTACGACCTAATGTTCTACGTTCAAATTTTCTACATGCCAAATGTATTAAATCCAAATGTCCTACATGCCAAATGTTCTACGTCCAAATGTTCTACATGTCAAATGTTCTATGCCCCACATGTTGTACGTCCAAATGTTTTGTGATAGTATGCAAGACTGATTATTGTTGTGTGTAGTGAGCGAACTTTGAGAACTGATTGTCCTGTGTTGTTGCCATGTTGTATGACTGGACGTGTTGAGTTGTTTACATGAATGCTTAAACTTAAAAGGCGTAAATATCGGTTGGAGGACTGTGGTGAGTGATCACGTGATGTGAGATATAAGAGAATGAGAAATAAAGATCAGTTGTTAAACAGAACACAGACGAGTTGGCATCATTCTTTACTATTAGATTTCTAAGTCCAAATGCTCTACGAGCCAAATGTTCTACGAGCCAACTGTTCTGCGTGCCAAATTTTCTGCCTCTAAATGTTCTACGTCTCACGTATTCTACGTCTTAAATGTTCTACCTCTCATATGTTCTATGCGCCAAATGTTCTACATGCTAATATTGTACGTCCTAAATGTTCTACGTGTCATATGTTGTATGTGCCAAAGTATTACAAGCCAAATCGTCTGCGTGTCAAATGCTTTACATCCCACATGTTCTACGTCCAAATGTTCTTCGTGACAAATGTTCTTCGTGACAAATGTTCTTCGTGACAAATGTTCTATGTCCAAATGCAATTCGTGCCCGCTAAAAAAAGATCCGACTGCTCAGCCGTGGCTGAAATGAATCTCGCTTCGCTTTACATTTGTTTAGCAGGCGTCAGTAATAACACACAACAAAACATTCCCTGTGTCAGGCGACATCAACCAAATGGATTTGTGATTTAACGACACGTCTTTGTTACGAGCAAATCTGTTGCAGGTTTAGAGTGACACATTTTAGGATTGGATTATTTTTTGTTGAATTCTTTCACATGGAATAAACCAACCAACCAAGCAACCAAGCAACCACACTCAACGTGAACAGCAACCAACCAAGCAACCACACTCAACGTGAACAGCAACCAACCAAGCAACCACACTCAACGTGAACAGCAACCAACCAAGCAACCACACTCAACGTGAACAGCAACCAACCAAGCAAGCACACTCAACGTGAACAGCAACCAACCAGGCAACCACACTCAACGTGAACAGCAACCAACCAAGCAACCACACGCAACGTGAAGAGCTTTATCAATAGGCGAAGATGGGCATACGGTGGAGGGGAGGTCTAGACTGGTTTGTATGGCGTAATGAGAGATTGAAACGAAAGAAAACCGCCGTGGAGATGGTAGGATGCTGGCCGGTAGGATGCTGGAGATGGTAGGACGCTACAGATAGTAGGAAGATAGGATGGTAAGATTCTGGAGATGGTAGAAAACTAGAGATGGTAGGATTCTGGAAGTGGTAGGACGCTAGAGATGGTAGGATTCTGGCCGGTAGGATGCTGGAGATGGTAGGACGCTAGATATAGTAGGACGCTAGGATGGTAAGATTCTGGAGATGGTAGAAAACTAGAGATGGTAGGATTCTGGAGGTGGTAGGACGCTAGAGATGGTAAGATTCTGGAGATGGTAGAAAACTAGAGGTGGTAGGATGCTGGAGATGGTAGGACGCTAGAGATGGTAGGTTTCTGGTCGGTAGGATGCTGGAGATGGTAGGACGCTAGAGATGGTAGGATTGTAGTCGGTAGGATACTGGATATGGTAGGACGCTAGAGATGGTAGGTTTCTGGTCGGTAGGATGGTGGAGGTGTTAGGATGCTTGAGAAGGTAGGATGTTGGAGATGGTAAGATGCTGGAGATGGTAGGACGCTGGAGGTGGTAGGACGCTATGGTAGGATCCTGGAGATGGTAAGATGCTGGAGATGGTAGGACGCTGGCGATGGTAGGATGGTGGATGTGATGTGGTGGTTATGGAGGAGTTGCGGGTGATGGGATGGGAGTGGTGATGGCTGGGATTGGTGGTGTGGAGTGGTGATGGGTTGATAGTTTCGTTGTGGTGGGAGTGTTGGGTGGGTGGGAGTGGTGGTAGGGCGGAAGTGGTGATGAGGGTGTGAGAGGTGGCTTGTGGTAGGGGGGAGATGATGATTTGAAAAATTTCTTACATTCTCCTATTTTACCCTCATTATTTGATCATCGATGAATAGTGAGATCAGCGTTGGATAACAGCAGGGTAGGGGGGAGGCAGCAGGGTAGGGGGGAGGCAGCAGGGTAGGGGGCAGCAGGGTGGGGGTAGCAGGGTGGGGGGGAGTCAGGCAGAAGATGCGTGAAACAAATTCCTCGTCAACAAAAAGATCATTACGGAAGGCCAAATCTAATCAGGGGAGGGGGGGGGGGGGGGGGGGGGTGGGGGGTGGGGGGGGGGGGGGGGGGTGGGTGGGGGGGGGGGTGCGGGGGGGGGGGGGGGAGTCAGGCAGAAGATGCGTGAAACAAATTCCTCGTCAACAAAAAGATCATTACGGAAGGCCAAATCTAATCAGGGGTCAAGGTTCCCCGACGAGCAGTGCAGACGACACGGCTATTCCAGGATCGGCCTCCTAAGCCATTTGATGACGTGTCCACATGTACACCATCGTCTGACAGAAGGGCGCCGTATAACATCAATAACTATATTATGTAAAGGTCGTGTCTTTAGTGAGGAAATGTTTGGGAGATTTCCCAAGCATGGCATGGAAGCAGCACAAAGTAGCACGATTGTTACGTCACTGATTCCGGAAGTAGTTATATTTACACATATAAAAGTTTTTACACACAGTTTTGCGGTTGATTTCATTGCTGTATTTGAATCTGACGAAATTGTTCATTAATATACGTGAATGCAGAGACTGTAACAAGACCCTTCTTCCCCCAACGGTTCTACGTATATTGTAATGTTGACATCTTTAGCGGAACCAGCGCTGCGCTTGACATGTCGTTGAATTACAGACTTTAGTTGGAAGGAGCCCCCGCCAATGGAAGACGACGACGACGAAACAGACAATGAGAATGGGTAGCTTGTTTTATCAGCGAATAGCAAGAGTTTCATTTAAATATAGATTTTTTTAAAAAAATCATTATAATCTATGAAACACAACTTGGATAATTAAACAATTAATTTACAACATTTTTAAAGCTTTTTTTTTTTTAAAACAAAAATACAAAACGCGGAGTTATATTACTCTTGGGAAATGGAAACGAAATAATATATACAAAAGGAAAATCCGATTTAAAAAAACTAACTTTTAAAGCAAAAAAAAAAAAAATTATATTAATTTTGCAAATTGTATTGCATCAAAATGAAAATAAAACAACAGGGTTTGTCATTTACTGGCGGGAATCTATTAATAGAACATCCGGGCATACATTATTGTCAATCTCATTAAATGTCTGAAAGATATTAATAGAAAAGGAAACAAAATAAAATATACAAAAGGAAAATACGATTTAAAAAAACTAACTTTTAAAGCAAAAAAAAAAAAAATTATATTAATTTTGCAAATTGTATTGCATCAAAATGAAAATAAAGCAACAGGGTTTGTCATTTACTGGCGGGAATCTATTAATAGAACATCCGGGCATACATTATGGTCAATCTCATTAAATGGCTGAAAGATATTAATACAAACATCCTGGTATTCCGTTTGGCCAATCTCTCAACAGCTGTTCGGCACTTCTACGTTAATGTTAGCCAGCATGGTGGGTCTTGACCTTGACCTATATAAAATAAGTTAATATGTTGATCGCAAGAAACAATTTTCAGATTGACAGGAAGCCTTTGGGCATAACAGTGTCTTAGGCGTAGTGGATTGGGTCGTATTTCAGCTCACCCACCTCGGGTGGGTTTCAAGTTGTCAAAGCTTGCCGGTCGTAAGGTCGTAAGGTCTGCTTCTGACTTTCCAGGGCGGACGGTGACGATGAGGTGGCGGACAGGGTGGCCCAGATGCTGGACAACCAGAAATGTTACATCCAGATGTGCAAGAATTCCTCGCAAATTTTACAGATGTTGTCCCAGTTAAACCAAGGTACGGCAAGATTGTGCAACATTTTTGTGACATCCAGCTTTAACATGAGTGTAGAATTCAGGTTAACCGTGCTTGCGTAATCCAGGTTAACTGTGATTTTGTAATCGAGGTACAATGAATGTCTAATACAATTTAACCATGATTGTGTAATTCAGGTTACCCATGATTGTGCAACTCACGAAAAGATGCATGATGGGATTTTAAGAGCTTTATTTAATACAATTCCGGTTTAGAGATTGTCTCTATCTAATTGTTTTGTTTATTTAAAAAATTCAAGTCAGACTATATTTAGGTTCGTATCTCGCTTTGTTCACTGTCAATCATGATTAATCAAATCAAGCCCGCCCCCTTCCTCACAGGTGTGTCATGCAGCACCCAGGTGCTGGAGCTGCAGAGTGTCAGCGAGGAGAGTGACTCGTCGCGGTCATCCACATCGTCGGCTTCATCGTCCCCCACATCCATGTCAGGTGACTTTCTTCCTAGAGTGCGCCCTCCCCCAAACTGCTCCCTTTAACCCCCCCCCACCCTCCCCCAATTCCACTTTTGAATTGTTTCCGTTGCACTTGATGGCAGTTGCCAGGGCCGTTAACTTACTCATGAAATCTTTCAGTCTTGAACCTCAACAAAAGAAAAGAAGCGAGGCAAGTTATGCTGTTTAAAGATTCATTGGCATTTTGTGAGCGGTTTTATTGCTATGCAAATTGCGCTCTTGCTCCCAGTGTCTCTTCATAATAATTATTGGGAAAATCAGTATCTATATCTCTATAATAGAGCAAGGTCATTGTGTGAATTATAAAGCTAAATAATCGTTGGTAAAACGGTGAAATAAGGAAACAGAATAAAGAGAGAGAGAGAGGGGGGGGGAGGGCGAATATTTGTTTAAACTAAAGGTTTGAACATTTCACATTATTGTATCCAACTCCGAACAGAGTTTTTGACGTCCTGCTCTCCCAGCCGCAACTCTCTCGCAGTCTCACACTCGGCCGGCTTCAATCGTCCCCCAAATTCACATCTGGTCTACATTTGGTTCAACACTTGAGTTATATTGTCCTCAATTCTGACTTTGGTGTTTATGGTTTATGATGCACTACCTTGACAAAAGATTTTTCATGAAAAAAAATGACCCATCATCATAAATGTATTTCAAGAAATATGACCCTCCCCTCTCCCCCCTCTCTTTGCGCACCATTTCTTTCTGGCATTGTTTGTTCTGGTGTAATCCTTTCTTTTGTTGTGTGCGCCCCCCACTGTTTGGTTCCGTTCATTAGAACTCTTCAAGTATCCAATGCAAGCATCAACGTTATGGGGCAAGTCATCATAAAATATCCTTCTTTCAAAAATAATAATAACTGTTACTCAGGAAAGCCATGTTGAGCACCAGGTGAGAAGCTCCACAGGTGAGAAGCTCCACAGACCGAATGTCAGCGGTAATTGTACACGGGTTGTTAATACCATTGACAAAATCAATTTCACATGGGAAAAGGGGGGGGGGAACTACTTTTAAAACAATTTATGGTAATCTGGTCACGTAATATTTGTTATTTCGTAGCTCCCCGCTGGAGCGCTTTTTAGTCGTAGTCGCATTAGCCTTAGTCGCATTAGTCGTAGTCGTAATCGCATTAGTCGTAGTCGCATTAGTCGTAGTCGTAGTCGCATTAGCCTTAGTCGCATTAGTCGTAGTCGCATTAGTCGTAGTCGCATTAGTCGTAGTCGCATTAGTCGTAGTCGCATTAGTCGTAGTCGCATTAGTCGTAGTCGCAGTCGCATTAGGCGTGTGACTTGGCGTGTTTTTTCAGGCACATAGTTTATAACAAGGAGCAGGGTCATGAACTCACACTGCGCCCATGACCTTTTAGATCAGCGGTTCTCAACTTGTGGGTCGAGACCCCTTTGGGGGTCGAGCAACCTTTACACAGATGTCGCTTAAGGCTATCGGCAACACACATTTATGAAGTAGCAACATTTATGGGGGTCACCACAACATGAGGAACTGTATTAGATTGTCGCGGTATTAGGAAGGTTGAGAACCACTGTTTTAAACAGTCAGGCGCTCTAACTGACGTTGTCAGTTAATTAAGCCGAGGCAATGTTTTGAACACGGGAATTCAATGAATTTAAAATTGACACCTGGTCTCTCAGAGTTGTTGACGTCTTGAATGGTTGTGATGTCAAGTTGATTTGTGACATGGCCAGAATAACCTCACAGCTGGCAACGAACGTTTTTTGTCGTTTTTTCTTTCTAGACGAGCCCCCACTTGTGATATGGGCGGAGCCAATCATGACATGCCAATTAATCTCCACGACCAATCAACATCACGGCTGCGAAGGGGTGAGAAGACTCCCTCCGGGTGTCAGGCCAGGGGAGGACAAAGGTAAAGGTAAGACTCTCTTGGGCGCCAAAGTGGAGGAAGCTACTTGTGTTTGAACATGTGTTTAAAAAAAAAGCTTGCCATGACTTGCATCGGTTGATGTGGATACGCTAGAAGAAAAAATGTCTGAATTGAAAATCCCTCAAGCCTACCCTCATTTTTTATAATACAGAGGTGGGTTCAGATTTGGGAGATACAAAAAGGTGGTGGAGCTCGGGTGGGGGATGTTTACCTGGACACAGTGAAAACTTTGAACAAACTCTGCACTCACTAAGCTGAAAATGTCCATAGGTCCTAAGCTAAACAAAGTCCAGAGGTCTTAAACTATACAAAGTCCAGACGTCTAAAGCTATGAAAAGTACTTAGGTCTTAAGTTATACAAATTCCAGAGGTCTTAAGTTATAAAGAGTCCAGAGGTCTTAAGTTATACAAAGTCCAGTGGTCTTAAGCTATACAAAGTACAGAGGTCTTAAGCTATACAAAGTCCAGAGGTCTTAAGCTATAAAAAGTCCAAAGGTCTTAAGCTATACAAAGTCCAGACGTCTAAAGCTATAAAAAGTCCAAAGATCTTAAGCTATACAAAGTCCAGAGGTCTTAAGCTATACAAAGTCCAGAGGTCTTAAGCTATACATAGTCCAGAGGTGTTAAGCTATACAAAGTACAGAGGTCTTTAGCTATACATAGTCCAGAGGTCTTAAGCTATACAAAGTCCAGAGGTCTTAAGCTATAGATAGTCCAGAGGTCTTAAGCTATACATAGTCCAGAGGTCTTAAGCTTTACATAGTCCAGAGGTCTTAAGACATACATAGTCCAGAGGCACTCCCCCACCATTTTTCTGTTTTGTTACCCTTTTAAATTAAATAGCCTTTAAAATGATGGTCTTCTAAAAGTAAAAGAAAATGGAAAGAAACATTTGGTCAAAAAATACTCAAAAGTTAACAGGTATTTTTTTTTTTGAGGTCCTGGAAGTTTGTGAGACCTTGACCTTAGTCGTGGCTTAGTAGGCTTAAGGACAAGGCCGCAGTGAGACCTTAACCTGAGTCGTGGCTTAGTAGGCTTAAGGACAAGGCCGCAGTGAGACCTTAACCTGAGTCGTGGCTTAGTAGGCTTAAGGACAAGGCCGCAGTGAGACCTTAACCTGAGTCGTGGCTTAGAAGCCTTAAGGACAAGGCCGCAGTGAGTCCTTAACCTGAGTCGTGGCTTAGTAGGCTTAAGGACAAGGCCGCAGTGATACCTTAACCTGAGTCGTGGCTTAGTAGGCTTAAGGACAAGGCCGCAGTGAGTCCTTAGCCTGAGTCGTGGCTTAGTTGGCTTAAGGACAAGGCCGCAGTGAGACCTTAACCTGAGTCGTGGCTTAGTATGCTTAAGGACAAGGCCGCAGTGAGACCTTACCTTAGTCGTGGCTTAGTAGGCTTAAGGACAAGGCCGCAGTGAAGCATGTGGACGAGTCCAGGAGCACTACAAACCCCATTGTTGGTGGGTTCAGTTCCATAAACCCCATTGTTGGTGGGTTCAGTTCCACAAACCCCATTGTTGGTGGGTTCAGTTCCACAAACCCCATTGTTGGTGGGTTCAACTGCACAAACCCCATTGTTGGTGGGTTCAGCTGCACAAACCCCATTGTTGGTGGGTTCAGCTCCACAAACCCCATTGTTGGTGGGTACAGTGAGTTCACGGGGTGGAAGTTGGTCGTTAGCTACATGTTGGCCAGCTGTTCTGGTAAACACTCCCAACGCCGAAATCGACCATGAGCAGCCACCGTGGCATGCCTCGCAAATAGAGTTTTAAAGATAATTTACAGTTGGCAGGAATCAACACGGGACCACAGGGGAAATGTTAGCCCAAGCCGGGGTTTGAAAGACGATCAGAACAAGATTACGGGAAATTTCATTTGGAATTTAAACAACGAAAATCCCACAAGTTTCCGGTTAATCTTTTTTTTTTTTAAATTTGAAACAGATTAAGACGTATTATTATTATGAATTGAAAAGGATTCATATAACACATAGGACATGTTGTATTATGGGAGTCGGAGTTCCTCGTCTATTCGCCGATGGACAGCGTTTGGCCAAAGCAATGATTGGTTTTCATGGGTTCTCGTTTCAAGATGCTTCGTATTCGATTTTTGATAACTAAATATTTAGAGGAACTAATATTGCAGCGTGATCAAAGTCTCGGCACATTTTATAATATAGGACAACGTGGAACTTGTTAACAGCCATGCGTGCACCCTCTCTCTCTCTCTCTCTCCCTCTCTCTCTCTCCCTCTCTCGGTCGTTCTCTCTCTTTTCGTACTACTTCTCCTCGTTCTTTCTCTTCCTCTCTCTTACAATGTCCCTCTTGTTCTCTTTCTATCTTGCTCTAACTCTCTCAACCTCTCTCTCGCTATCTCCCCCCTCTCTCTCTCTCTCTCTTTCGAACTCTCCCTCTTTCTATTTCTCCCTCTTTCTCTCTGTCACCATCTCTTGTTCACTGTCTCTCGTTCTATCTCTCCCTCTGTCTTTAATTTTCTCTCTCGTTCTCTCTTGCTCTCTCTCTCAACCTCTCTCTGGCTATCTCTCTGAAATATTTCATACACTGTATGGGACCGAGCTATTGCTCTTTAATGGCCCCGGCAATCATGGAACAGACCTGCCTCATCTGCTGGGCAGTCCCGTATAACAGGCTCTCGACGTGGTTGGCTGGGAGAACCCCAGTCACGTCAGTCGCTAATGTTGGGCACCCGGCTAGAAGGTGATCCAATGTCTCCGGCGCCTGTCCACAAAGGCGGCAGCTTGGGTCCCTCAGTGGGTCAATCTACTCAGATAGCTCCTCGTGGGGCAGTGCTCTGTCCTCACCTGCGTGATGAGGCTCTGCTGGTGGCGTTTAAAACCCCACCATTGATCGCCCTTGCGGTTAGTTTTTTTGCATGTTCCAGTAAAGTTTTCGGGCAGTGGTACCCTGTTCCCATTCTTTCCTCCATTCCTCCAGGATTGGGATTGGGAAGAGCCTTGTCTCGCAAGCCAGTCAGCTCTGACTTGTAGGGGGATCCCCGCGAGTCCCGGGATCCATTGAAGGGTCACTGTCCCTCCGTGAGACCGTATGTCTCGCATGAGCTCCATGATTGTCTGTACCGTCTTAGTGTCCCAAGAGAACCTCTTCACAATCTCGAGAGCACATTGTGAGTCGGTGAACACCACGACGGATGGAAATGTTTTGCGTTTGGCTAGCCGACAGCGCACTTGTTTCAGGCCCATGAGGATAGCTTCAACTTCTGCTTCAGCTGCAGAACTGTTCTTGCCGCTTGGGCCTGAAATCTCCTCTGTTGGAGGTACCCCCTTCGGATACTGTATGAGCGCGCCGTAGCCTGCCCGCTTTTCGCCAGCGAGATAGGAGCCGTCTGTGAAGACTGATACCATATCGTCACTACAAGCCTTAATCGTCTCTAGTGTGGCCCCCTTTTGCTCATTTTGGGGGCTCGACTTGTTAACCGCCGTGCTTGACAGGGTCAGACGTACATCAGGTGGTTCGCCGCTATCCTGTGGTGATCTCTCCTGGATCAGGCGTAATTTGTCCCTGATCCTGGTAAAGGGTGCTTTTTCTCCAGTGAGTCGACCGCATCCATAAAGGAGGGTCTTTTAAGCCTCGTCCTCTTTACCCAGCGGTCTTGGAGTTGGAAACAGGGCTCCGTGCGTTCCATTCGACGGTCGTTAGGATAACTTAGGATAACTTTGTCCCTCCTGATGTGCAGTGGTTCTATGTCTGAGATAATTTCCACGGCGGCCGTGGGTGTGGTACGTAACGCCCCGCATATGAATCTGAGAACTAGATTCTGTATGTGGTCCAGTCCCTCTAGAGCCGTACGGCTCGCAAAGACCTGAACCGGCAGGCTGTAGTCCAGGGCACCTCTTACGCTCCCAAGGTAAAGAGTTTTTAGGAGTTTTGCGTAAGCCCCCCCCCCCCAGGTGGGGTTGGTAAGTTTTTTTGATCAGGCTGAGTTTTGACGTGGCTCGAGCGCCGAGATCCCGTACATGGTTGTGAAGTTGAAGTTTGGGGTCCAACTTGTCCCCAAGACTAGACCACCCCAGGAGAAAGGGTTTTTGGGGTTTTTGCTTAACCCCCCCCCCCCCCCAGGTGGTGTTGGTAAGTTTTTTTGATCAGGCTGAGTTTTGACGTGGCTCGAGCGCCGAGATCCCGTACATGGTTGTGAAGTTGAAGTTTGTGGTCCAACTTGTCCCCAAGACTAGACCCACTGTAAGAATAATTGAAATCATTTATAACGACTTCCGTCAAATTTTCAGTTTCCCCAGAAAATTGCAGTTCGACTAGTTCCGCCAGCAGCAAGCAGACGACATCTCCTGCGCCCAACTCACTCACTCAAAAGACAGCCTCCCCTGCCCCCATCCCAGTCAATCAACAGATATCAGACTGTGAGTTCAGAGGAACATCTCTTTATTTTTAGTTATTCGCCAAACCAAATTATTCAAAGACAAGTGTTGAAATGTTTCATAAATTGGAGCCGTGGAGTCCCCACTAAATTAGTGTCATTCTTGACGGACATATTGTAAATTTCTAATTTGTAATAAATGAAGTATATCTTATTTTCAAATAAATTTCCAACTAATTTTTATACTTTATATTTATTGTGTCATAATGAATGCTTCTTAAATTCTATCGAGTTCAATATTTAACTTTAAACCGGGCACCAGTCTTATAGTTCGAATTTTTAATCGTCACATATTTAACTCGATATTTCAATTGAATTATTCGTTTCAAGGTCAAGGCCGTGACCCGGAAACTAAATTCTCCTCGCAGACGAATTTCTCCGAAGCCATGATGAAGATCTCAAAGGCGGCTGACACCATACGACAAGCGAGGCAGATGCTGTCCTGCCTGGCCAACATCAACGAACTGAACAACAACAACGACCCCGACCAGCACAAGGAGATCAGCGACAGCGGCCATTCAGGCCAGGCCAGGGCCGTCATTTCCACAAGCGCCACCGGGGCCGCCCTCCAACCGAAGCCTCTTGAAAACCCTCAAGTGACTGACGACGACGGACACTCGCGAAGTGACCCGACATTCCCCGAACCCATTTTGGTCAAGACGGCCGTCTCTCCAACCGACGCGACTTCTTTCACGGACGCCGAGTGCTCGGTGACCCCAAAGACCGGGACGGACGACAGCCGGCCATTATCGTTCACGGACTCGGGAATTTCAAGGTTCACCGACTCGGGAATTTCAAGGTTCACGGACTCGGGAATTTCAAGGTCCACGGCGAATTTCCCCTCGCGGGTGAATGAAATGCAGTCCAGCGGGTCTCCTAGAAATATCGAAAGACAGCAGATGTCCAGGTTGCGAGCCAATCTGTTTGCTGAGCGCATGGGATGGTCGTCAAATATGTCCCAACATGCGCTGCAGGCATCAAGGATCGTCCGTTATCCTCGGACGTACGGACCGATCTACCGTCGGCCGACGACGGAACACGCCAACCGAACACAACAGTTTAGCTCGTTGATTAGTCAGAACAACCAGGAACAAAATCTGCCCAACCCACAAACGACTTCCGCGTCGGAGCCGCCGCCTTCGGAAATCAGAAATCAGAGTTCTCGTCCAGGGACAATCGGTGAATCGGACGCAAGCGACCAAGCTCATAGGGGCGGTGGGGATGTCCCGGAAAATGCTGAGAAAGTTCATGTCACGAAGTTTGTCCATAAAATAACGCTACAGGACCTGAAAGAGGCCTTGGATTGGGTCCTTAAAAATTTGGGAAAACCCGACTGTTGGTCGGCGAATTCACAAAATCTGAACGACCCAAAGATGACCGCGTCTAAAGTGGGTTCGAACGGATTTATCATTGCGCCTTTTGACTGCACGTGCACGCCTACAGCACACAACAATGTCGTGACGATCGCCGGCCAGAACGAGGACGAAACACTTGCCGCAGTACCAGCGGAGAGCGATTGTCGGGAGTCACCCGTTTACATCTACGAGACTGCGTGCAGTGGCAGGGAGCATGTGGTCAGTCCCCCTCAACCGAATCTTGTAAGAAGAAGCCATTCGAGAATATGGGAACAAGGTGGTGGAGGGGAGAATGAGAACGGAAGGCAAAACTCGGAGAGAGTTCAGGAATCGGTTGTCGAAACCATCGCAGTGAACATGTGCACTTCAGCAACAAATGTGTGCAGTGGGGACAGCGGACATGATCTAGCGCTTTCACCCAAACTGTTGGCCAATGAGAAGGAGAGATGCTCGATTGTGCTTGAGCAGGAAGGTGAGCCGCACAGTCAGACTTGGGACGCGATGCCGTGCATGCCAGGTGGCTTGGACGAGGAATGCGGCGACAGCGCAAGTTGCGAAGTGATCAGCCAGCGTCTGCATAAAATTAACTCCCTAGGGGTCAATGAGGGACTTGGTGACGTCAGTGAGAAGGAAATTGACGCCAGATCACGTGTACAAGGCGGGGATCATTCGACAGAACAAGATGGGTTTGGGATCAAGCCACAGAGTTCGACCCCCTTTTTGGAAAGACCTTTAAACCACAACTCGGCAGTACCGGACCACCACACGGCAGTAACGGACCACCCTACAGCGGGCCAAACTGAGACTGCGAGTCCAGATTTTGTTTTCGGACGTCACGATTACTTCTTCAGAGAAGAGCAGTGGCCGACGGGACGAAACCAGCCGACGCTCGTAAGTCGAGTCGACGAGTCAAGTCCTGTGAGCGAAGAACAGGAGTCTTCCTCGACTGACGGTGGGGGCGCCGATATAGCCCTGAAGGTCATCAGTAAGGACAGTCGGACAGGTGAGCCCACGATGTCAACGCAAGGTTTTCAACCGAGAGAAGAAAAGGGGCGGAGAAGACCGGGCAGTGCCTGGAGAGAACGCCAAGATGACCCGTACGCGGCCGACAGATCTGCGTTGGAAAGTGAGAACGGATGCGACAGCAGCGAGGAAAGTTTTGATCAAAGTAAAGCGACTCCATTCTACGTGGGTAAAATAACGGGCAAGGAAATCATCGACTGTACTGCAAGTAGAGCTGAAAGTAGAGCTGACGCTGTTACAAAGAACTCGCTCTCGGTTAAAACTCAACAATCTATTTCCGGTGAAAAATTAAAGCAAGTCGAGTTAACAGACGAATCAGGGGACAACCCGCTTTTCGACGCCAAATCTGAAGACCAGCTGACCGTCCAAGAAAGCCAGATACCTAATCTGGAAGCCGGGGAGGAAGGAGGCTCACCGGACGCCAGCGAAGCTTCTTCGGTCACGGTCCAGTCAGTGTCCATCGGAATGTCCATTAGCTCTGCCATTAAAGGCTTCGTCAGCCGCAATCGCGTTCGGAGTCGGCCTTTACGGACCCACTTCTGGGACAGAAACATTTCAGAATTCAGAGCTCGCCCTGCAGAACTTGAAAACCAGTCGGCTGTCGTTGAAAGCACCCGCGAAGCTGGCCCGGCAGCAGACGAGGAGAAACTCGAGCCGTTGCCCAACACTTGCGTCACCCGAGAGAAATCGAATATTTTTGAAACTGCCGACGCCGCTCAAGAAACACCGCGTAGTGTCGTGTCTCGTTCGGGAACGATATTAAAATCGATCCTCACGAGACCGAAATCGCCCAGAGTGGTTCCCGCGACGTCACTGGGCGACACAGAAGAGACTGACCGGGTGGACGTCGAGCCTGACGTCTTCAGTTTTACCAAACATTCGGTGGAGCGGAAGGTCACGTGGGATGCCACCTCCCAAGGTTCGGGGGACCACGTCAGCCCCACCGTGTCCACCTCTCCTTCCTGCACCAAGCACACAGAGGATGTGACGTCACACGATGTAGCCGACACAGTGTTCCAGCCTCCTGCGAAACCAGGATTTTTCCAGAGAATTCGCAGACTGTTTAAGGCTTGTATACCTTCTTGGAGAAGATGATTTAAAGTGTATGGACGTTTCTGGGAACGATCAGCTAAAGCTTGCATACCTTCCTGATCAAGATAATTTGCTTGCCTAGTCAAATGTTTGCTTTGCTTGAAGTAACAGCTGTGGCTTAAGCCTACAGGTCAACACTATATCTTTGCCGAGCAATGTTTTGAAAGAATTATGGAGCAGTCAACATTTTATAAGTTTTATTGCCATATTCTCATGTCAGTGGTTCTCAACTCTCTCCAACAAAGCCGGTAAATACAAACAGTATTGCGACACCAAAGTCCCTAATGAAAATATTTTTTTGCAGAATATATTCTATGCCCCGGTTCTCCTCTTCTAAGGGGGATCACAAGCATTCTCCACAATGGAACCCCCCGTGAACCCCTAAATGACCCCCTTGATCCAGATGGACACAACAGAAAGTAAAAATGATTTAAAATGTATGTACTAACAATCGTATGAAATAGCTCTGAACCTACAGCCATCATCAGACAACAATAGGTCACACTGACATCTGGGCTGGTTGAGCTATCGGATCGGTCAGACAACAATAGGTCACACTGAAATCTGAGCTGGTTGAACTGTCTGTATTAACTCTGGCTACTATCATATGTAAGGCTGACCAACGAGTGGGTGTGTGTGTGTCGGTGTGTGTGTGACTGAATATTGGGGAACCCGGGGGGGAGGGGGTGTATTTCTAGAAATTCATTTTTTTACATTTATTTCTATAAATACATTGTCATAAATTTCTACATTTTACTTTTAGAACAACGATTGTTTTAGACATGTACATGTATAAATATTTATATACGATGTTGGTTTCAGTAAAGTGTCATTTCTTTAAAACACCGAGTCTGTCTTAACGTGTCTCAGTAAAGTGTCATTTCCTTATAACACCGAGTCTGTCTTAACGTGTCTCAGTAAAGTGTCATTTCTTTATGACACCGAGTCTGTCTTAATGTGTCTCAGTAAAGTGTCATTTCTTTATAACACCGAACCGAGTCTGTCTTAACGTGTCTCAGTAAAGTGTCATTTCCTTATAACACCGAGTCTGTCTTAACGTGTCTCAGTAAAGTGTCATTTCTTTATAACACCGAGTCTGTCTTAACGTGTCTCAGTAAAGTGTCATTTCTTTATAACACCGAGTCTGTCTTCACGTGTCATTCCGCCATCTTGTATTGCCTTTCAACGAGAAACCTGAGATTTTGAAGAGGTTTGCTATTGATCCGTCTGGTAGCTACCACTTCGATGAATTGGGTCACACACGGTAGATCAGTTGGTGGTGGCCGAGAGGTGGGGGGGGGGGGGGCAGAGAGACAGTCACACACGGTAGATCAGTTGGTGGTGGCCGAGAGGTGGGGGGGGGGGGGGCAGAGAGACTGGGGGGGGCGGGGGATGGAGTTGACACAGAAAATGACAAGAGGATTCTAGCTGTCAAAGATTCAAGTATTGATTGATTAAAGGACCATTGGTGAGGGGGTATCTGTCAAGAGTAAAATTAATCAATTGGTAATAGGGGAGGGGGGGGGCCGGCGACTGCAATCAGGCTAGAAAATTTACTAATTTTTCCACTCATTTACATTTTTTAAAAAATCAATCACCGTTTTAGTAAGGTCAAACATTAAGCAGACCTGTTTATCAGTACGATTTCGCCGTAGAAACTAGGTTTTTAAGCCTAAGACTACGGCACTACAACGACCCTGAACCAAGTTACGATATCGGGGAGTCCTTTTGAGCGGGAGTAACTTGTAAGGACTTTCTGTCTGAATTCTTGGCTAATGCACATGTGGTCAGATGAGGTCAGATGTGGTCAGATGTGGTCCATTTGGTTTTGTGTTGTGATGCCAGGGGGACACTGAAGTTACCTTCTGGATATTCTTATGCTGGCATACGCTGCACCTAATAAACAGTGTATCTGCCGTGGATAAGTCTGCCAGTCTTTCGCAGTTTCCATTTCTCTCTCCTACAGCATCACCGTCAGTGGCGCTACAGGCCATGCAGGGCCCTGGCCTGCACCACCACACCCTTCCATTCCGATCGATCCATGGCTTTCCTCTCCTACACCATATCGCCCTACAATTTCTTCGTATTCTCTGTTTCCCTTTGCAATCTTAGCATTTCGATCTTCCATTAAGATATTAAGATGTCTACCTGGATATATTTCTATTATGGCTCGTGGTCTGTTGTAGACAACTTTCTTTGTCATCTTCCTTACAATCGTTGGTGGGTCCATACCGCTGTATTACATTCATATTTATTGTCTTCTTCTTAGTTTCGGAAAGATGCTGTAATAATTCTTGGATCATGGGCATCCCATCCAATCAATGCCCCTTGGATCATGGGCGTCCCATCCCGTCATTACCCCTTGGACCATGGGCGTCCCATCCAATCAATGCCCCTTGGACCATGGGCGTCCCATCCAATCATCGCCCCTTGGACCATGGGCGTCCCATCCAATCAATGCCCCTTGGACCATGGGCGTCCCATCCAATCAATGCCCCTTGGACCATGGGCGTCCCATCCAATCACTGCCCCTTGGACCATGGGCGTCCCATCCAATCAATGCCCCTTGGACCATGGGCGTCCCATCAAATCAATGCCCCTTGGACCATGGGCGTCCATCCAATCATTGCCCCTTGGACCAAGGGCGTCCCATCCAATCAATGCCCCTTGGACCATGGGCGTCCCATCAAATCAATGCCCCTTGGACCATGGGCGTCCATCCAATCATTGCCCCTTGGACCAAGGGCGTCCCATCCAATCAATGCCCCTTGGACCATGGGCGTCCCATCAAATCAATGCCCCTTGGACCATGGGCGTCCATCCAATCATTGCCCCTTGGACCAAGGGCGTCCCATCCAATCAATGCCCCTTGGACCATGGGCGTCCCATCAAATCAATGCCCCTTGGACCATGGGCGTCCATCCAATCATTGCCCCTTGGACCAAGGGCGTCCCATCCAATCAATGCCCCTTGGACCATGGGCGTCCCATCAAATCAATGCCCCTTGGACCATGGGCGTCCATCCAATCATTGCCCCTTGGACCAAGGGCGTCCCATCCAATCAATGCCCCTTGGACCATGGGCGTCCCATCAAATCAATGCCCCTTGGACCATGGGCGTCCATCCAATCATTGCCCCTTGGACCAAGGGCGTCCCATCCAATCAATGCCCCTTGGACCATGGGCGTCCCATCAAATCAATGCCCCTTGGACCATGGGCGTCCATCCAATCATTGCCCCTTGGACCAAGGGCGTCCCATCCAATCAATGCCCCTTGGACCATGGGCGTCCCATCAAATCAATGCCCCTTGGACCATGGGCGTCCATCCAATCATTGCCCCTTGGACCAAGGGCGTCCCATCCAATCAATGCCCCTTGGACCATGGGCGTCCCATCAAATCAATGCCCCTTGGACCATGGGCGTCCATCCAATCATTGCCCCTTGGACCAAGGGCGTCCCATCCAATCAGTGCCCCTTGGACCATGGGCGTCCCATCAAATCAATGCCCCTTGGACCATGGGCGTACATCCAATCATTGCCCCTTGGACCAAGGGCGTCCCATCCAATCAATGCCCCTTGGACCATGGGCGTCCCATCAAATCAATGCCCATTGGACCATGGGCGTCCATCCAATCATTGCCCCTTGGACCATGGGCGTCCATCCAATCAATGCCCCTTGGACCAAGGGCGTCCCATCCAATCAATGCCCCTTGGACCATGGGCGTCCATCCAATCATTGCCCCTTGGACCAAGGGCGTCCCATCCAATCAATGCCCCTTGGACCATGGGCGTCCCATCAAATCAATGCCCCTTGGACCATGGGCGTCCATCCAATCATTGCCCCTTGGACCAAGGGCGTTCCATCCAATCATTGCCCCTTGGACCAAGGGCGTCCCATCAAATCAATGCCCCTTGGACCATGGGCGTCCCATCAAATCAATGCCCCTAGGACCATGGGCGTCCATCCAATCATTGCCCCTTGGACCAAGGGCGTCCCATCCAATCAATGCCCCTTGGACCATGGGCGTCCCATCAAATCAATGCCCCTTGGACCATGGGCGTCCCTCCAATCATTGCCCCTTGGACCACCCCTTGGACCATGGGCGTCCCATCAAATCAATGCCCCTTGGACCATGGGCGTCCATCCAATCATTGCCCCTTGGACCATGGGCGTCCCATAAAATCAATGCCCCTTGGACCATGGGCGTCCATCCAATCAATGCCCCTTGGACCATGGGCGTCCCATCAAATCAATGCCCCTTGGAC